ATTCATTCATTCATTCATTCATTCATTCATTCATTCATTCATTCATTCATTCATTCATTCATTCATTCATTCATTCATTCATCCATTGTTAATTTGTTTGTTCTTTCGTTCCCTCGTTCGTTTGATCGTTTTTTAGTTCCTATATTCATTCATTCGTCCATTCATTCATTCATCCATTCATTCTTTCATTCATTCGTTCATTCATTCATTCATACCTCCATCTTCCTATTCATTCACTCGTTCATTCTTCCATCCAACCATCCGTCCATTCGACCATCATTTTGGCGCCAAGACTTTTCAAATACGTGTCGCCATTGGCTTTCGTTCAATAAACACCTACTTACTATCTTTGGTATTTTATATTTTCCCGCTTTTTTTTGTTTCGCTTGGATTTTTATTTTTTTCGTCTTTATTATCATTATCATCATCGTCGTCATCATCATCTTCATCGTCGTCATCATCATCTTCATCGTCATCATCATCATCATCTTCATCGTCATCATCATACAGACTGACCTCATCGTGATTCAAGTTTATCAGATTACCATCTCCATTTATGGGCCTCCTCGAAAGTCTGACATCATCATCATTACCATCCTCGGCGTTCCGATCATCATCATCATCATCACAACCATCACCACCATTATCATCATCACCACATTCACCACCAACATCATCACCACAACCACCATCGTCGTCGTCATCTTCACATTGTTCTTTAATGAAGTCACCATTTTCACCAGCGAGGCTGTTGTACAATTGCCTCGGCGCTGGGAAAGATTTCTGTCTCTTGGCACCAAAGCCGTTCAACTTATTATTACAATTATTATTAATGTCATTATTATTATTGTTATTTTTATTATTATTGTTGTTGTTATTATTATTTAAGTGGTTGTTGTTGTTGTTGTTGTTGTAGCAATAGTAAACATTCTCCCTACTGCCCTGTTTCTCGCATGCGTGCATGTTATTGACAACACGGTTATTATTATTATTGTTATTATAATTATTATTGTTGTTGTAGTTATGGTTATTATTATTGTAGTTATTTATAATGTTGTTGTTGTTGTTGTTGACATCGTCATCCTCAAAATCTTTCTTGTGTTTCTTTTCATCCAGCCTGACCAAGGCGATGACGACCGATACGACCACAATGGCCAGTAGTATGGCTATCAGCGTAACCGCCAGTACCACAACCGTGTTTTCATTAGCGAGCACGTGATTTCTGACGTCATCGTCGTCGTCGTCGTCTTCCATGACGTAAGAGCGCTGGGCAAGGATGAGAGGGATGTAACGAGTTTTGTCGGTTATTATGATTAAAAAATTGCCGATATTTTTGAGCGGAGGTGAGCCTTTGTCGGATATTGAAATTGTTAATAGGTGGCGCTGGTCGTTGTTGTTGTTGTTGTTTGAGAATGATGATGACGTTGTCGTTGTTGGGTTGTTGTTGTTGTTGCTGCTGTTGTTGTTGTTGTTGTTGTTGCTGTGATACGGACTTCGTATCAATGATAGATAGCCGTTAGTTTTACCGATTGCGAATAAAGGTTGATGGGGCTGTTGTTGTTGATGATGTTGATGTTGTTGTTGATGTTGTTGTTGTTTCGTAATGCGTTCATTTGCATCCTGGTCGCCATCATCCTCAGTCTGATCTGTTTCCGCTTCCGGGAATAAGAACACGTCCGCCAATAAAGTGTAAGAAATTTCAGCGTTAGGGCCGTAGTCGATATCAAAAGTTTCGATTTTGACGAACGGCGTATCGATCGGAGTTCGACTCGATACCAAGAGCGTCGATACGAGAGGAATCGACATATATTCGAATTTCGGGACTATCATCGCCGCTTTTCTGCCCGCTGAATTATCAATGTCAATGTTCCTATGAGTGATTAAGTTTGTGTGACCGTTGGTAGGGATGTAACAGATGAAATTACTTGCGAATTTCGAGTTGTCAGTCGGTTTTACCGAGTTATTCGCTAAAAATTGGTCAATCGGGTCGCTGAAATGTGTGATCCACGCAGAAAAATCATCAGTGCTATAATTAATTTTATATTTCAATCCGTCCCCGTCATAATTATTTTCATTATTCATAATTTTATTATTATTATTATTGTTGTTGTTTTTGTTGTTGTTATTGTTGTTGTTCTTAATGTTATCCGTATTTTTCGTAATAACGACACTACACTTACTGATATAGCTATAAACACTTATGACGGTAACATCATTGAGATAATTAAATCTGGCATAACTATTGTTGTTGTTATTGTTGTTGTTATTGGATTTAAATTGGGGTATGTTATCATTGGCATCATGAACGTGAATGACAATATACGTTAACTGAGGTCCGTGGGTCGAGTTCCTATTGGTTGGGCTGGCTTGGGCTATCAAACAATGCAGCCAATGAGATTCTCGATCCAGTGATGACGATGTTGATATGACCCCTGATTGCGGGTTTATATCGAATAAACGTTTCAGTGATTGTGATGATGATGACAATGATGATTGTGGAGATGGTGTTGCTGATGATGATGGGGATGTGATGTTTTGTATTTTTTGTTTGATGTTTTGTCTGTTTTGATGTTTGTATGACCTTCGTTTGTTGGCTCGTTTTGCTGATTTTGATTTTTTGTTGAACAACTCCCTGTACTCAATACATTCGGGATTACCGAATTTATTTTTAATTTGCATAGTTTCGTTTTTAATTTTATAATCTTCTTCCTCATCATCATCGTCGTCGTCAATGTTGTTGTTCACCATCTTGTCACTCCACCACCGGTAAACAAATCGGTTATTCTCCGATTCGACGTCCCCATCGCTAGCCCGAACCGTACCGACAATCGTCGCGGCCGGTAAGTTCTCATCAATCGTAAATTGATACCGACTCGATTCAAATATCGGCGGTTCGTCATCTCTGTCGGATATATTAACGACAACGCGAATAGATGACGATCGACTGGTTGGCTGGCCATTATCGCTTGCCTGCACAACGAGGTAGAGTGTAGAGAATCGCTCTCGGTCGAGTAGGCCGGCCACGAATATCGATCCGGTAGTCGGCTTTATCGATATGGGGAATTCATGGTGAGTTGCGTTTGTCATTTTTGGTGACGATGAAAATGACGAAGCCGATGAAAAAGATGCTGAAGACGACGAAGAAGATGTTGATGATGACAAATCGTTATTTACTGGTAAACTTCTTACATTTTTACCAACATAACTTTGATTGCCAGTATTTTTAGTTTTATTATTGTTATTATTATTTAAGTTGTAGATGTAAGGGACTTTTCGAGAGTTTCTGACACTATAAACCAGCTGACTCGCAAACGAATGGTAAGAATGATACAAAATCGAATAGCTAATTAAACCATTCGCTCCGATATCTCGGTCGTAGGCTCTCAGTCGGATAATTTCGGATCCAAGTGGTTGATTCTCTTCGATGTAGACCGATAAAACCGGAGTTTCGGTATTACCGACGGTACTGAACGACAATGAAGTATTATTAAAGGGGTAATTTTTATCATTGTTATTTTTATCTTTGTAGGGGCTACTATTATTTGTATTGAAAATTTTGCCGTTTTTGTTATTATTATTATTATTATTAATGTTTTTATTATTATTACTATAATCGTTGTTGCTAAAAATAGCAAGATCGAACAGGGGATCATTATCATTAACGTCCAAAACTTGGATGGACAGATGAATGAATGAAGTAAGGGATGGATGGCCAAAATCTCTACACCTAATGACCAGCTAGTGATGATGGTGAAGGTGATGATTAATCGCGATGATGATGATGTTGTCGATTAAAATGATAAAAAATATCTACAGGGGATATTTTATCTCCCTCATGTATACAATCATCACCATCATCACCATCATCATCGTCACCATCATTCCGACTCACATTATATTCATCAATCTCTTCTCTATCCAGCATCTTATTGGTGACGAGCTTATATTCCGAGTGATACAAGTGTTGTAACTTAAAGGTCGATATCGTATCGGTTCGGTAAAAACCGGTACCGACATTTAGAGATGGGCTGGTAATCGTATTCGGTACAACACTTTCATTTACATTACCCCTGTTATAATTTTTATCATTATACTTAAAAGCAGCAGCTGTAGTTTTATTACTACCACTCCAATCAATATTTTCATTCCCGTCATTAATGTCATCATTCCTGTTATTAATATTCATATTTTTATAATTTGCATAGCTCCTCCCTTTTCTAATTCTCATTGGCTGCCTCTGGGCGCACTGGCATTCGGTTTTTCCGCTATCATCCGAGTCGGCGTCAGTGACTGAAATGTGCGCTACAAAAGTTCCTACGATGGTGGTGATGATGATGATGATACTACTACTACTACTATTACTACTACTAATAATAATAATAATAATAATGAGGGGGCAATGGTGCCTACCGAAACAAACCTGACTCGAGGTTTTCGTAAACTTCTGCAGTAGGATGATTCAGGCTATCCGGGGCTTGGTGGTGAAGATGATGAAGATGATGAGGATGATGATGTTGATGATGATGATATTGTTGGTTTATTTGATGATGATGATAATGATGACGATGTAAGTTCGTATCAATCTCTAAATTATTGCTACCACCAATGTCGCCATTTGAATGATTTTTATCAATTTTATCTTTATCGTTAATAGCATCGTAAATTACTGCATTTTTTCTTTTATCTATCATTCCATCTCTCTCATCATCATCATCATCATCAACAACAACAACATCATTATCATCATCATCGTCATGAGTATCTCTACTAGCAAAAATAATACTCTCATTAACACTATTAAAATCCAAGTTTTCGACATTAGTGTCTTTAGTGGTTTCTACATCAGCATTATTGTCACTCGTGCCATCGTCTAGACCATGGCGTTTCAGAGCGTTAACCAAGATAACAGGTGCGTTGTCGTTGATGTCTAGAACTTCAATGATGACTGTGGTAAGTGAAGCCAGCGAGTCGGCGCCCAAATCGCTGGCGTAGATTGGGAACTGGTGCAGCGGGGTCGATTCGAAGTCGAGGTGCTGGTTTAGGAATATGGTGCCCGTGTGCTCGTTTATCGTGAATGGGAAGTTTTTCGCGTTCTGCTGGCTGGGATTGGTGGGGTGTGGATTTGGATTGGAATTCGTTGGATTAAGGTGATTAGAGTTAAAATTGGGATTGTGAGGATTGAGATTATAATTATGGAGATTTTGTGGTAGATCGAGATAATGATGACGATGATGATGAAAGTTGGAAGGATGATGATGATGATGATGGGGATGGAAAGGAGGTAGTTTGGTTGTCGTGTAATAATTTTTGAAATTTTTTGAATGCAGCTGTTGATAGTTGAGAATGTTACTGGAGTTGTTGTTCGGATGTCGTTGTTGAGGATGGCGAAGCTGCTGTTGTGGCTGTTGGTGGTAGTGGTAGCGATAGCGATTTTGTAGTTGTTGCTGCTGGTTTTGTTGTTGTTGTTGTTGCTGCTGCTGGTGCTGCTGCTGCTGGCTGAATGTCTTCACAATATGTTTCGAAAAACCGTAAACCACTTTGCCATTCAAATCCGCGTCCTTATCTACAGCTCTCACCTGAAATTTAAAAAAAAACACCTTTAAAATTTTAATATTTATTTCTCCCGGATTTATTTTAAAATTTTTCCGCCAAAATAATAAAATTATTTCTAACAAAATTAAAAAATAGTTCAAAATTAATCTGAAATTAATTCGAAACCCTCAAAATGGGAGTTCCAATTTCTGCATCTTCATAAACTTTTACGTGATAGGTAGAGTTCTCAAACTCAGGCATGTTGTCATTAGCGTCTACGACCTTGACATTTATTTTTATACTCCCAGTAAGGGGCTTGTGACCCCCGTCGGTCGCCAAGACGACCATCTTGTAGAGGTCACGTGATTCTCGGTCCAGTTTCTGGGTCAGTCGGATTCGGAGGTCCGTCTCGCTGTCTTTGTTTCGCTTGACCTAGTTTCGAAAAAAAAATAATTTAAATAATTAATTAATTTAATTTAATTTAATCAAAAAAATGATATACAAACTAAACAGAGATTAGTAACGATTGAATAAAAAAAAATTAACGAAAATGAACACAGAAACAAGGCCGCGATAAGCCCTTACTGACCAATAACTTGAAAGGCATCGCAACGTCATTGTAATTGTTGGTGACGTCATTCTCGTTCACTTCCGCCAATCGGTCGCCAGCGTTGGCATTCTTTTTGTTATTATATTTTTCATTGTTTTTCATATTTTTATTCATATTGACTCCGTAGCTTTTGCTGCTGTTGTTAATTGTATTTGCGAGTGAATTGTCTGTTTGTAAGAAATCCTCATAATCCTCATCTTCATCATCATCTTCTTCTTCTTCCTCCTCATCGTCGTGTTCCCATAGCAAGGAATAATCCTTGATCCCATTCCGTAGGGTGTCGGGATCTTCGGCAGATGGCACGACAAACTCGCTCCCCACCTCGGCCGTTTCAGACATCAGATGGACCATGGAAGGTTCCGGAAACTCCGGAGCGTTGTCATTGATGTCGTTTATCTTTATCTGCATCAGTTCGTGTGTGTGCGTGTGAGTGTACGTATGTGCGTGTGCGTGTGTGTGCGTGTGTGTGCTTATTTTATTTAAGCCAGTTTAAATACAGTTTCGTCTGTCTACATATTGGTCTAACATTATAGCAGAATGATAAAGAGAGAGAAAGAGAGAGAAAGAGAGAGAAAGAGAGAGAGAGAGAGAGAGAGAGAGAGAGAGAGAGAAAGAGAAATCGCAACATTATAATCACTGCTATAGAGAATAATGACCTTTAATCTTTATAAAAACTAGATGACACCCTAAAACACCCAACCTCAACTTTTATGATTGCAAAATGTTGCATGGGCTTCACGGCGACGTCAACTTTCAGCATGCAGGTCTCTGTCTTCAGCATGGGACATATCTGTTTTAAATATTTACATATTTCATATTATATTTCGCAATTTTCTATGCGATTGATTCCCTATTTTCTAAAATTCCATTCCTAAAAATTAAGTTTTACTAAATCCCATGAGGGGAATCCCATGGGAACAATGGGATTTCCGCTACTCCCGTTCCCATGCTTACTTCGAGTATGTTCCTATTGGCTGTTGTAACCGTTACGTCATCAATTATATCTATTACGTCATGATTGATAATATTTAATACTCCATCAAGCTATAAATAATACGCTTTAAACTGCATTACAACGCGACTGTAAAAACTGTCGTCCTTAGCTATAATTATTATCAACTAATACTAATTATTAATAATAACTAATTATTATCAACTAATACAAATAATTATTAATAATTATGATCATAATTACCTCTTCTCTGTCAACTTTTGCAATGCACCTCAGCAAGCCGCTGATCTCGTCAACATGAAAAAAACGCTGGCTTTCTTGATTCAGAAGTGTAAATCTTCCAAGAGTAATATTTTTCAATGTTATTATTACTATTATTTATTATTAATGCTGCTATTGTTTTTATAATAAACGCGAAAATTATAGTTTGTAGAAAATTATAACGTATATAAATATAATAATTATGTTGTCGTTGAGGAATTTATATGGCGCCCATGTATGTATGTAAGCACATCTGGCCAACAGACGTCTGATGCTCAGGCTAACCGTGTGAAGGTGCGTATGAGCAATTTTCTTAGGCGTCTCAGTATTTCATTCAATCATTTGTTTCTTCATTCAATCAATCATTCATTTGTCTATCTACTAATTCGTCTCTTTTTGTTATTCGTTCGTTTATTTATTAATTGATTCATTCGTTAAATTTCAATTCTTCAAATTCTCTTTAAAATTTTTTTTAAGTTAGCCAAAAGATTTTGAGTCTTTAAAGGCAAACAACAACAACTATTGCGTTAATAAGCAAACAAACAGACAAAAAAAATAAAAGAACGAACGAACAAACAAACAAAAAGCAAACAAAACCTTAAAGTCCTAAGCACGGAACTGTTGTATTTACTGAATAGCGGAAAATCATTAACGAGATTCCAAGAGAGGTTTGTTGGCAGAGTCTCTTCAGTTAAATAATAACCCAGCACATCACTGGACCCCCCTGCCGCCATTTTGCCAGAGCAAACCGAAGGCCGGAAAAGAAAATTGTTCGTGGGCAAATCGTCGATAGAAGCAAAAACAATGAGAGAAATTATCATCACTCGCATCTTGACTGATGTTGTTATTATTATTGTTGTTGTTGTTGTTGCTGCTGTTGTGGTTGTTGTTGATGTGGTTGTTAATGTTGTTGTTGCTACTGCTACTGCGGCTGCTGCTGTTGTTGATGTCAGATTAAAATTTCTAAATAGTTGCAAATAATGTTGATGTCATTTTGTCAAAAAAAAATTTCGTTAATTTTCTTCGTTTTTCTTACGTTAAATAAGATGACGATGGTGATGACGATGACGAAGAAGACGATGCTGCTGATGATGATGACGATGTCGAGATTGATGATGACGATGTTGATGATGATGATGATGACGATGTTGATGATGATGACAACGATGACAAAAGTAGAACAACATTAGAACCTTTTAAAAAAATTTTACATATAAGCAGTTAGATTGCTTTCATAAAGATTAAAACATGTCTTTTCCTAAGACTTCCCACTAGAATAATAACAACAATAATAATAATAATAAATGAACGAATGAGTGAATGAATGAACGAGTGAATGAACGAGTGAATGAACGAATGAATGAACGAATGAATGAGTGAATAATATGTAAATGAATGAACAAATGAAATGACTAGTGAAGGAATAAACTGATGGTTTGAATATAAGAATTTTAGTAACATTTTTGAATTTTTCCAACCAAAAAATTTCTATACAGGACATATTTTTGTTTCTTTTTCATTGAGAAAAAAAATTCAATAATGAATTGATAAAATTAATTTATTCAAAAATTAATTAAATTAATTTATTTATCTCGGTGCTAATACACTTATAAAAAAAACTTTCTCATTAAATCATTGAAGGGAATTCATTTTTCTGTTTTCATTTCATCTACCAAGCACTTGTAGATTTGTTCATTCATTCGTTCGTTCGTTCGTTCATTCGTTCTTTCGTTCATTCATTTATTCGTACATTCATTCATACATTCATACATTCATACATTCATACATTCATACATTCATTCATGCATTCATTCATTCATTCATGCATTCATGCATTCATTCATTCATTCGTTTTTTTCGAACTCACTTCTTCCATCTATCCATTTACGAGTTGGGTGGAGAAATTAAATCAGAGACAATATAACGCTACGAGAATTTTTTTCTCCATTTGACGATTAGAAACAACAGCAGCAGCAACAACAACAACAACAATAATAACAATAATAACAAACAATAATAAGGCAAGGCAAACTCTGAGTTAGAATATTTAACTGAGAAATTCTCCACCAACGAAACTAATATAGATCTAATTGATAGGAAAAGGATAAATTTATTATTATTATTATTTTATGATTATTATTGTTGTTATTATTATTGTTATTATTATTTAGAGTAATTATTTTGCGATTCCATATTTAAAAACAGGTAGGATGACAGCATGCAATTAAAGATGTGTGCGAATGTGACGATATTAAATAGACGCTTGTACGTATCTATGTATATGTCTATGTAAGTGTGTATGTGTGCGTGTGTTTGTGTGCGTGTGTGTGCGTGTGTGTGTGTGGATGACGTTTTGTTTAGCTTATTCATGTAAATTTAATTTCCGGCCTATCACAGTTTTGGCGGGGTATGAGTTTTGAAATTCCTGAGTTAAAGTAAAAATTTTTGGCTCATTCTTCGTTACTATGTTACAGTACCCATCACGAGATCTTCAACCTAGCACTCCCATTCTGAATTCCTCGCCGTGTTTGTGTAGATGTGTTTGTATACGTGTGTGTGTGTGTGTGTGTGTGTGTGTGCGTGTGCGTGTGTCTGTGTGTGTGCGTGTGTAGCTAATTCCATCGGAGAATGCCTGCATGATATTTGTATCAACGTACTAATCAATCAAATCAAACCAGCACGTTTCATATCGTGATTTTTACTAGTAAAATATTTTTGTATGTATGTATGTATGTATGTATG